CCCCAAAACCCCAAAACCCCAAAACCCCAAAAAGCAAAAATTTAGAATTAATTTTAGACTCCTCAATGTAATATCCCTACTAAGATCTGTGTTGGTACCTCTTCAAGTCACTCTTAATCACATCACACTGTAGGGAGTGAGCCAAACTTTCAAACTTTCTTTTGCAAGTTTGGCGAAAGTCCTGACATATCTGAGTTTTTTGGGCTTCTAAAGAGCCACTAAAAGTTTCCAGTTGATCAATTCTAGCCATTGTTAAAGGCATAAGTACGCTTTTAGACTGAGATTCAGAAGTAATGTTATCGTTGTCTAGGAAGAGAGTCAGGGATTTCAAAGGCGGCTCAAAAGCGGATTTTAGGAGAGAAAGAAGATCCTTTTTATAGGAAATGAAGGAGTCCAAGGTTAAGTACAGGACTAGGTGGTAGGTGGGAAAGTGGCTGAAGGAGAAGCAAGGTCTTAGTAATTGGGTAGGACTTGTGCGTAGACGGATTTCCGTGGCAGGCGTGCGAAGGTAAGTGAGAAGGTTGAAAATTTTGGAGGCATTTGAAATGGATCCAGAATACTCAAATTTATCAACCAGTTTGTAACCTGTAAAGAATCTTGAAGTTTTTAAAAGGCCTCTAGAGTTAAGAATATCTACTACTAGCTCCTTGTTTTTAATAACTATCCATCGTGATTTACTTCTAATCGTTTTGAAGAGATCTTCTACTTCCTTTGGAATATTCTTTGTTTCGAAAATCTTTCAATTACAGATCCTAGTGATTTTCATTGTGTCTTGGTCTAATTTCAAGAATTCAGTCAGGTTTTGAGGGAAATAAATTGGCACTTTGGAGCCAAAGTATCATTTTTCTGCAATAACTTTAAAGATCTTCTTGTCAAATTTATAGTATATTTCAACATTCTTCAGTAAGATATCTGATTCTTTTGGCTTCACACAAAATTCTGTGACATTGGTCAAGAAATGAAGGAGATGAAGGTGGAAAGTCTTTAGCGAATAAACTAGCACTTTATTGGCACTCCTAAACCTGCCACATACTTGATTGATAACTTTGGTATTCTCAATGCTTAGTTCAAACTTCACTGAGATTTTCAAACTTTCCACTGAATTTGCCAGAAAGGGGTTATCAATATCAGCCAAAAATTTAAGATTAGACTTTTTGGTGGCTATCAAGGTCAGAGTATTAGTTTTGGCTTTGCATGAATTGATATTTTTTACAAAGTCAGGATCTATCAGAGAAAACATACTGGGAAGCGTTTTGTAATTAAATCCATTGATTTTTTCTCAGAACTTAATATCCTTGATACATAAAGGGCTCACCAATTCATGCTTTCATTGGAGGAGAGGCAGAATTCGGGAAATATCTGCTCTAGATTCTTTCTTAGCTGTATTTTTAGCATATCTTCAAAGTCGGTGATGAACTTGAAAAGTACTGATAGCTTTCCGACAGAAACCTTGGAATAAGAAAAATGTGTTCAAAGTAACTCTCAAAATGGCCTGAAGGACTTCTTCTTTGTAATCGATATTTCAAGGTGGTAATGAGTGAATGGCTGATCCTTTACTAATAAGTACAAGTTTGTACAATCAGAATCTCTTAGCTTGACTATAATTTCCTGAAGTGAGGTGTTCTCACTAAATTCTTTCTTCCAAGTTTTGAAATTCTTGCTACAAAGTTTAGTGGACTCTGTCATGAAGATATGAGATTTGGGGTTCAAACCTGTGTATTTTAGGACTATACTCATTGGCCCTGCTGAACTTAATTTCAAAGTGCTCATTTTTCTAATATTTTGACTAAAATTTTATCAATAAGACATATAAAGAGGCGAATTATTAAAATCTTTTCTGGATGAACTGCATCAATTATTTCAAAGACTATTAAAACTCAAAATCTACTTAAATCCTAAAATGCTTGCTTGCAAAACATTGTTTTGGAAATTTATCAGTTCAGATACTTTCCCATTTTCTCTCGAAGCATAAAGTCTCTGCAAGTAAAGTTTGTGTAAATATTGAGGATTTTAATTACTCTAAATATCGATGGTTATCTGAAAATCAACAGTATTCTTTGCCATTATTATTTCAGCGTGAGCTGTCCTTCATGTAAAAATTGATCACTATATTGAAGTAAGGTGCAAATTTCTGACAACTGTTCCTTTAAAATTCTTCAACATAAATAAATTTGTCTTATAGCCTATCTCCTCTCTGCTAAAGTAGCTTTGAAAGTTTTATTAAGGAAAATAAAGGGATTATAGAGTAAGTCTCCAACACTTTTGAACAGTTATTGAGGAAGGCACTCTAGCCAGACTGTATATCTGTGATAAGCTCAGACGTGTATCCTCCATTGGATTTATCTGACTATTCTGAGAAGCATCTTCAGGATTCTGAGGGTTGGCTGTATCTAGGTTTATTAGAAAAGAGCTTAAGAATATAATATAAATGAGGATCTTATTAACAATTTTACCAACTGAGTAGTGAGGATAAATAAATTGGTATACATTTTATTTAAGAAACTCTTGCTATTCTCACTTATTTTGTAGTAAAGGGACTTTTATCTATCTTTTTCTTAAAGATTGTCCCAAATAACATTGGCTAAATGGTGAGGATTTGTAAGCAACCGTGAATTGCCTCAAAGTATTAATCCCAACTAGTTACTTGCGACTGTTGCTTTTATTGTAACTAGAATTTAAATTAAACTCAGAATTAACAGATCAGAATTTGAGCTTGAAGTTTTTTATCAATGAGGTTTTTTAATATGTGTGTTTAGCATATCTACAAATAAATAGTTTTTTTCTTCTGAGAAATTTCTTAATGAGTCATGGATTATTAATGCGAATTCATTATTTTGATGAAATCTATAGCTGAGAGTATGAAATCCCAAACAATTGGAGTAATGAATGGCTCCGACATCTTGGTGGTAGTGAAGAATATAATCAACATTTGAAGATTTAAAGAGTATTTGTGTCCGACTATTTTAGCGAAGATTAATCAACAACCAAGAGCTAATACCGTTTTTCTTAAACTTGGTTCTCTAAAAAGAATATAGATGTATTGACTGAGTTTGATCATGTAAAATCTAGCATTAACATAAAAGCTAGTGACATTAAGAGGCAAACTTGTTATAAAAACACTATTCACCAAATTCAATATAGCTCTAAGGATGTGGGGTTTTGGGGTTTTGGGGTTTTGGGG